CTTCAGGCAAAGGTCCAACAAACCGGAGACCTGCACTGAACATTAGTTTTTTTTTTCCATATTTATACACTTTGGTTTATGCTCATTAACATTTACTCCACCTTTTGTCCCTCCTTTGTTCCACCCACATTCCCTCCTATCTCACGCCACGCTTCTGTTTACTGTTTACTTCATTAGCATGGGATTGCCTATGCATATCATTCAATTGCATGTCTTTTTGCTATGAGCAGATGCTCAAGACCATGAACCTGACTTCCTCTGGTCACTTGCTGTTTCTTGCTGACTCATTCTTCACCTCCAAGTTCCTACTTCTGCTTTATTTCCTGACAATAGCTGGTGGTCTGCATCTTGTTCTCCTTGTACAATGAGCTATATAGCTTTACAACACTATTCCATTGTTAGGAAAATGCTTGCCTAAGCGTTTTGCAATGTTACTTTTAATATATCATTCTGCCTTGTGGTTAGCAGCTTTGCTGGCCACAGCCTAAACCCTTTTATTCAGCTGCAGGTTCAATGTTCCCCAAGATCCAAATACAGTCACCCTAACACACAACATTTAAAGAATACTGTTTTCAGTAGAAAAATTGAATGAACTTTTCCATTTTGAACGACTTTTGATTCCACTGCATAGACAAGTGATTCTCAAAAATTGTTTTGCCAACTATAGAAAGCACATTCTTGAAAGTCGCTATGAAAAGCTGAAAAGTCACTGAGCATCCTGAAGTTGAGATGCATGACTTTGTTCTCTCCACTAAAGCATCTCAGCAACTGTGTACAGCAGCTACCTCATTAATACAGAATTGGGTTCCAGTGCGGTTTTTCAAGTCACTGCACTGGCATGCTGTGGTGATGCTCTTCAGTCAAGGGGCATCACAGGTCTCTGCTGTGTCCTGGAGGCATGAGACCTCTGCTCAATCCTGTGGCTCTGCTCCCTTCCCCCAATAGCAAGGAGAGGAGCAGTCAATGAATGCTCCCTGTGGGCACAACAAATCAGGGTGCCAAAAGCTGGAAAGCTTGCAGGGTAGCAGCAGCCAGAGGGTGGGGTGCACATAGGGATGGGGAGGAAGAGTGCTGCATTATGAGGTGCCTGAAAGACTAATATCCTGGATCGTGAAACATTCCAAAATGGTACAAAATAGTACTTGTTCTCTCAGGTGCATTTTTGTCACAATTTGGCCACTTTTGGAGCATTTTATCTTGCATGTACCAGGGGTGGGAAAAATGCAGCCCATGGGCTGGATGAGGCCCTTAAAAATTTAGAAAATTTAATATTTATCTGCCCCTGTCTGCCTGTCATGTAGCCCTCAATGGCTTGTCAAAACTCAGTAAGTGGCCCTCCACCCGAAGTAATTGCCCTGGTCTATACATTCACCATTTGAAACGCTTTGAAGGTGATTCAGAGTTGTTTGAAATATTGCAAATGTTACATCTGTCCTTAGCCATAGCAATTTCTCCTCTTGATAGAAGCATAGAAAGACCCTTGGAGAGGAAATTGTATCTTTTCAACAAGTCTTGCTGTCACTTGTGATAAGCTGGTCGTCTTTGGTGATTTGAGCCAGACAGTAATCCTCAGCAAATGTGCAAGATGCACCATTTGCTTAAATATTTTTAGTTTCAGTTATAAGAATTGTTCCTCCTAATCTTTGTACTTGCTGATTAGCTTTAGACAGAAGTAATTTATCCTAGTATTTCCTTCTCTTTAAGAACTATCATGAATGTGCTTTGCATTAATTCTTCATGAATGCAGTAGAGAGCAAAGAGATTTTTATATTAAATATTGAAGAATATTCTTGTTTTACATATGAACCATATTGTTTGTTATTAGCTATGCAGCTGGCCAGCAAAAAAATACTTTTTATCTATGTTTTTAGGTATTGCAAATGAGACTGGGGGGATCACCTTGATTCCCATTTCAATGACTTTATCTCGGCACCCCAAAGTGGAGAATAATGATCAAGTTCCCCTTACAGCCCAAGCTTTGACTAGTGCCTCTCCAGATCAGTCCCAAATGAATCAAGCACAAGAAACGCATCATTTACCAGGAAGCAAACCAAAAAAAACTGGTTCCCTAGCTCTGTTTTACAGAAAGGTAAAGGTATCATGGCCAAGATGCAGTCTGTTAAAGATTTATTCTCTTCTTCTTGATTTCATTGAAACTTGTTTCTCAAAATGTTGGGTTTTTTTCATTATAATCCTGTATTATAAATTACTCTTCTTTTGTCACTAATAATGACACTTGGGGGAATGATTTTAAATTGTAGGGGAAAAAAATCTTTTCACATTTACCAGTGACTGCCAGATGAGTTGCATTCTGATTTCTTTGATTGACTGCTACAGTAGCTACACGTTTTGGGTGCTTTTGATTTCCTATACATGTTCTTATTGCCTCCCAGACTTGTGGGTGGGACAAATGAGAAGGAAGTTGTCTTGCAGCTGGCAGGCATTATGCAGTAGACTATTTTGACTACATAGTTTCATAGTTAGTAGGGTCTGAAGGGACCTGAGCAGATCATCAAGTCTGACCCCCTGCCATGGCAGGAAAGAGTACTGGGGTCAAACGACCCCAGCAAGGTGATTGTCAAGCCTTGTCTTAAAGACCCCCAGGGTAGGAGCCAGCACCACTTTGCTTGGAAGTTGGTTCCAGATCCTAGCCGCCCTGACAATGAAGTAGCATCTCCTGATGTCTAATCTAAATTTCATAGTTTCTAGGGTCAGAAGGGACCTGAGAAGATCATCTAGTCCGACCCCCTGCCATGGCAGGAAAGAGTACTGGGGTTAAACGACCCCAGCGAGGTGTTCATCTAACCTCTTCTTAAAAACCCCCAGGGCAGGAGCCTGCACCACCTCCCTTGGAAGTTGGTTCCAGACCCTAGCCGCCCTAACCGTGAAATAGCGCCTTCTGATGTCTAACCTAAACCTACCCTCTGCTAGCTTGTGACC